ATCGCAGGTCAATGCTTTGGTGGTCCGAATGAGACGACGCAGTACATGAATGGAGCCTCTAAGAGCAAAGTCTGGAATGCATATATGCTGTTCTACCAACGCGTGTCCACAATTGAGAAGTCCAAAGAAATCTTCAAGCCAACGAAGCCCGACCTCCCCATACACCTCCCCGTATCAATTTCGACCCAGAACTACATTGCAATGGACAACGAAATGCTCATTCGGATTTACTGCCTTCTGGACCCACAATACGCATACTTCGTGGGCAGATTGCTTCAGCGGTGGCCCGACATGGCAACGGAGGATACCGACAAGACTAAGGCAGAGTCATTGGCCATCAATGTCGGAATGGACACTATTGAGCAATTGGTGACACGTACCAAATATTTCCAAGGACACCAGGAGGTTTACAGCGAACTCGTCGACATGATCAACAAAAGCCCCAATGCGGCCCAATCGGCTCTTGAGTGGGTTATTAATCGGCCAACTTCTATGTACAATCTTATGATCAAGACGCAGAACGCAGAAATCCGAAGCAAGGGAATTTCGCTGATCAATTATTCCCTGAAACATCTCCACTTGATGTCGACATGCCAGGATCTCAACGAAGATGAACGAATCTCATGGCGCGACCGATTCGATGAAGCTATTCAGCAAATTGTGCCCATGGTGACAGCTCTCTGGGCCGAAGTTCAATCCCTTTTACGAGTTTGGGACGACTACTTTGGCTTCTTATTGAAGCTTTGCAACTATGGCCCGGAGATTATTCAGGTCTTACTCGATCAAGGCCATTTCGCTACATGTATGGAGATTCTCTGGATCGATGAAGAAGATAGCAAGAAATTGCGGATCCGGTATCCCAATTACGTGCGCCTCTTGAACAAAGGACGTCGGTTCAACCATCTGATTTTGCTGTCATTGTGCTTGGTATTCTTCAAGCACGTTGACCTTTCGCTCCGTCCAACCCCCATTGGCGGACAACGGCGGTTTTTGAATGGCAAGTTCTCGACCAGCATCAGAGAAATCGAACTCATCAAGCCTGTTGAAAATGATGGGTCTCTGTCTATCTTGCTGAAGCTTCTGAAGCATGAGACTCTTGCGAGGAGCCAGACTACTCGCGCGATCATAGGAGTCCTGTTAGACGGAGAGCCTGATGCAGGTTTGTTGGATTCGATTCAACTGACACTGGAGAATGGTGTCAGACTAGAACCCGCTATCCAGTGTACACCATTCCTGGAGGCAGCCACAACGTTCTGCCAGCGTTGTCCGGATAAGCGGCGGGTCATTGACATGATCGACTTCGTTGCCAAGGGGGTCGAAAGCATTGACAATAGCGGCGGCCAGGAGCATATTGACTTCTTCATGTGTCTTTGCCGTAGTACCAACGAGCGGCTGAACATGGACTCTGCGAATTTTGCAGAGATTGTTCTTGACAATATCTCAGTCTGGGCCCCGACCTTGCTCATTGATAAAGACGAGACTGTCCGTCGCAATATGCAGAATATTCTCGAAGAGACGATCTTTAACGATAAGATCGTGGAAGGCAACACAGCGGACTCCGAACAGAATGGCGAATGGCAGACCATTATCACACCAGAGCGGCGCCATAGCCTTTGCCGTCGGCTGCCGAACGCATGCATCGAGCGGCTCAAATCGGCATTCTTGACCGATCAGATCAGTCATATCGACGCCAGACTACTTGAAAATATTACCCCGGTGATCAACTATTGTCTGGCTACTTTTTACGACGACTCTGAGGCGGACCAGCAAGAAGTTCAACAGGCCAATGGTAGGTTTGAGTATCTACACCTAGGGTTCTTGCAGTCTCACTAACACACTCTTCTCAGAACTCATCTCCCTCCTTAAATCGATGTCGCTCGAAGATGTCCCCGATGACCCGCCTTCTGGTATGCTTCAATATCTATCCCTCCTGAACGGCCCTGGAACATCATCTAACCCGATACCCCTAGAATCGGACGTAGCCTCAGTCGAAGATTGGGACGCAAACTCGGTGATCGCAACTGATTCCGAGATGGGAGTCGCTGGATCTCCTTAAGACAATGGCATTTCCCGCTGCAAATTGCTTTTTGTTGTGTTTCTTTCCCATGCGTTTTTGCGATGTCAATGGATTCAGCGAGCACGATGTGTGCATGTGATCAAAGGCAAATCCTCATACCTCACGGATTTTACGAATTCTTGCTGTGTTTTTCGCCCTATGATGATTGTGGTTGTTCGTGGCGTTTTCTTTTGCTCATGGTGAGCCGGAGTGGGATTTATTTCTATGAAGGGTGGCTTTGGACGGACAGCTCATCTACATGCATTTCGCAAGACTATTTCCGAGCATTGAGATAAATAGTTTCTGTCTTGAGATTTCAAATCTTTGAGTGGATTGCATTCAACAAAGTTCGTAGCGCATCATTTTGTTCATTTTGTTCAATGATAAGAGTAACACGTATCTCTATTTTATTTTGATTAACCCTCTTGCTCTCCGCCAGCTGGAGCATCGCCCTCATCTTCTGATTCAACCTCCACAGCAGCAAGTGCATCCTGCTGAGCCCGCGGAGCGCCGCGAGTCTTCTTAGCTTTGGGGCTGCCGGGGTCAGCAGCGTTAGGTGCGGTTGCGAGTTTAGTCGCTGGAATGCCACCAGAAGTAACATAGAGGAAGTAACCTGCGGGGAAGTGATCGATATGGTTGAAGAAAGAACCAAAGCTACAGTCAAAGTCAGTATTGCCGTCTTAATGTGAAATCAAACGAGGACGTTGGTTGGAATAATAACATACCCAGCACTTTGGTCCTCCTCCCGGAAAATTCGATCATAGATCTCCCGCTGCTTGAACTCATTGATCTCCACCTCAAACTTCTGGAAATTGATCGGCTGACGGTCAAGACCCTGTGCCTTGTTGTTGTACGCGTCGAAGATAGGCCGCTCAAGCAAGAGGCCCAAACCAGGCGCTTTGGGAATAGCAATGCGCTCAGGACCATAGGTCTCGGTGATCCGGTCTGGATGGCAGCCTGAGCGGACAACCATCGTAGCCATGGCGACCATCTTACGGATCTGGTGCATCATGAAACTCTGCCCATGGACTTTCAGACTGAGCCATTCCGTGCCGTCGATGATAATCGGCGTTGTGTTCACCTTGAATGACTTGATGTGCCGTTTCGCCGAGGGGTCGTTGTGCGTCTTCTGGATCGTGTAGTTATGAAAGTTCTTCGTACCTTCGTAGCGGTCGAGACATTCTTGCAGGCGGGCGATGCGTGAAGCGGGAGCGCGGTAGGCTCGTTTGGCGGTGAGGTATGCTGCTTTGATGGCCTTGATGGCATCGGCGATGGCTTTTTGACGGGGGTCCATGACAAAGGGCTTTGAGGCCTCTGCGTCGGCCGGCTGTTTAGTCATGGGCTGATCGCTGGTCTCCTGCTGCGCGGGTTGCTCGGCGGGGGCCGAAGAGACATCCTTCTCTTCTGTGGGTTGGAGTGCATCGCGGGAGTCGTCTAGGTAGAGAGACTTTTCGACGATGCGGCGGATGTCTTCAGGCAGGGTTTCTAAGATCGGCTTGATGTACTCTATATCAGCCTCTTCCCAATAGCCTGCGACCTCTTCCTGTCGAGCCGTGACTGCATCCAACTCGCCTGCCTTGTCGGCAAGCTCGATGATTTTCTTTCCAAGATAGGTGCTTGGGTGAGGCGGCAGGAGACAGTGACTTGGCAGCAAATACTCGTAAACTCGGGAGTCGCACATCTGGTAGCAGCTGAAACTTTTGCTGGTCACTTCGTAGCCCCAGACACGAATTTGGGGGCTGAGCTGAGCGTTTATTTTCCCGATTATATCTTCATCTTCGACAATCATCTTTAGTGACACAACATTTCCAGCTGCGTGGACACCCTTATCTGTGCGGGCACAACGGACGAAGGAAGATTTCTTGGGATCTGCCGCATTGGCTTTGGAAACTGCGCCGACGTTGACGAGGGCCGTGAATAGATCACCTTCAATGGTGCGTTGGTGCTCGTTCCTATACCAAACATTGTTAGCGCAAGGATATTACCTTACACCGAAGCAGAAAAGACTTACAACTGCATCCCGGAGTATCCAGTCCCCGAGTACCCCATCAGAAGCGCAACCTTCTTTTTGGGGCGGCGCTCTTCGCTGTCGATCTCCTCCTTGGAGAATTGGGTAGCGTAGATCGGCAAGCTGACATCTTCGCCGTTCTCGATCTTGCGACGCTTGGCTTCGGCCTTGTCTTCATGACGCTGTCGCTTATCTATCGCTTGGCGACTTAATTAGTTAGCCGACAATGCGAAGAACGGGAGGTTACAATTGACGCAACATACCTCCATTCCGCTCGCCCCATATCGCGGTTCTTACGCCTTCCACCACCTCCGCCTCCTGTTCCTTTGTTGTCGGCCATTGTATCCGCTGGAAGATCTCTGATAGCTCCGCACGAGGTGCAGATGGGTCGCGCCAGAAAGAACGGTAAAATTGATGACTAACAGTGTGGTTCCTGGTGTTGTGGGGAAGCGATCGAATTAGAATTGAACCTATAGGCGCAGTTAGGATCCCAGAAAGGTTCCGTTGGAGAATCGAGGCACACATGAAATCAATTTTCGGGGCAATTTGTCTTCGACTACGCCTTACGCGCGGTTCATCTTTTCCCTGATATGGGCACTAGTCCTATAACGGTCTAGTGTGTAGATAAATCAGACTAGCCATATATGGTCATATTTACACCTGAGGAATCAACTTTGCATGTGACGTGAAGCTCCGCGCTTTGAACCGGAATTGCAACTGTCCTTGTTCAGTCAATCAATTGCTTCAGCGCGGTCTGTCGCTCAAGCGCAACTATAATTCTCTCGTGGACCCCTTCACTCCTTTTGCTGCCTTTGATTGAAGCATGCTTGTCTTGTCCACTATCTGAACACTGCGACTTATCGCCTTGCGCTCCAGTTAAATTCTTTTCCGACCTTCTTCCCGACTACCATCTTTTGCTCCGAAGCTTCTGCAAACATGGAGCTTTCAAAGACACTTATCCGAACTGTGGCGCGAGCATTTTACGAGACCCGTCACATCTTGGTCGTTGATGCGCTCTTTCTACATTCAGTGTATGATGAGAGTTGATCTCTGTTGATTGGTCACTTTGCTGACCAGCTACAGTCTTCACGCTGAGGATCTAGCCTTTTTGATGGGAATGCAACAGAAAGATCTTCGCAAGCTTTGCGCCAAGCTTCGAGAGGATCGCTTGATCGGAGTGTATGTCACTTCTCCCTGACGTGATCTACAACAAAGGGTGCAAAACACAAAGCTGATCTAGTTCTATTTTGATTTTAGGAGCACACGCGCCGAGATCCGCGATGGCTCTACTCGCCCAGTCAATCGCGAATATTATTACATCCCCCTACACCCGGTTGTCGATGCGATCAAATTCAAAGTCTCCAAGTTGACAGCTATCATCAAAGCGCAGTACACACCGAGTGAAGAGCGCAAGGAATACATCTGCGTACGATGCAAATCCGAATGGACCGAACTGGATGTATTGAGTCTGGTTGGAGATGAAGGGTTCGAATGTCAAAATTGCGGCGCCATCCTGGAACGGACGGAGGATGTCAAGGGCGCGGAAGGGATGGACCGTACGGGCCACGAGAAAAACAGTAAGCTTATGGCACAGCTAGATAACATGCTCAAACTGCTCAAGCAGATTGACTCGGTCGAAATTCCGCCGAATGATTTTGAAACAGCGTGGGATCACAAGGTGGAGGTTATTCGGAACCAGAATACACACCCAGTCCGTGCCGCGATTGCTGTTCCTCCCAAGGCCCAGGATATCACACGTCCTAATGCCAAGACGGATGCCGCTGCACTGGAGATCTCCCTCACCTCAAGCGAGGAAAAGAGTGCTGCCGAGCAGGCCGATGAGGCCGCTCGTAAGGCAGCATTGGAGAAGCAAAACGCACTTCCAGTTTGGCACACACATTCTACGGTCAATGCATCCCAGGTTGGCAGTTCTCAGATCAAGACCGACGTTGGCACTGTAGTGAAGCCTGAGCTTGTGGACGAGGACCAAAAACCTAGTCTGGATGCTTTGGACGACAAGGTCGCCGCGTACTACGCTGAAATGGAGCGCGAGAAGGAACTGCAGGCTCAAGCAGATGCCAGTAGTGCAGAAGATGATTCAGATGAAGAAGACTTTGAGGACGTCGAGGGGATCTCTGGTCCAAGCGGACCGGCTACGCCCGCCATGGCTGGCGGTCTTACAAGTGCCCCTACCACATCTTCTGGGGGCGCTGGCACCAAGCGTGAACACGAACCGGCCGCTACTGTCCCTCCATCATCAATTGGGACTCCGTCTGCGCCTGCCGACGATGGACCTGCGGCAAAGAAAATCAAGGTCGATCCTGATATCAAGCCTGATCCTGATGTTAAAATTGAGGCTGAGGTTAAGAAGGAGGCCGAGGAATCTGATGAGGACGATGAGGAATTTGAAGATGTATAATGAAACCATTAAAAAAGTCAACATTGGCGCTGGCGCCGAATAATGATGGCAGACTGTGGAGCCCTGGAGGCTTGCAAAACCATTCAAATCCCGCATAGCCATAGAATTACATTTTGCCCAATTTGCAAGACTTCAGAATCAAGTAAATTGACAATGGATGACGAGACAAAGCAAGTACGTTGCAATCCAGTAGGTATGCCCAATGAAAGAGATTAAAGATAATCGAACAGGAGGAGAAGTAGGAGTGCTCGCTGATGCTTTTGAGCAAAAACCAGAACCGATTGCTGTGCTATGTAAAGAAGCCATGTAGCTCCCCTACTTAGAGGTATAAGATGACGCTGTAGTAACTCTTGCCCTCGCCGGCTATTGCTAGCTCTACAACACAAAGAAACGCTCTATCATGACTTGGCTAAACGTGAGATTCTTACGTCCCAATTGAGACGTCCCTGCAGCCATGGCGGCGCTTGGTAAAATGGTCAGCCGGAGACATTTCAGTTGAGCTCGGAGTTTCTTATGTTATGTTCGAATTATATATTTAAAGTCATTTCCATTATTTGGATTTGGTATAGGTAGAAACATATCTCAGTAAACATGACGGCGATTGCACTATTCTGCCTATTTCTATTGGCAGCTACCAGTCTTTATGGCTTGGGTCGAGTTGTATACAATGTCTTATTTCATCCACTGCGAAAATTCCCGGGGCCTTGGATGGCTGGAGCCACATCGAGTTGGAAAGCATACAAGGAAGTTATAAAACAAGAGTCGGCGGTTCATGAGCTCTTTGCTCTCCATAAGAAATACGGTATGAATGAATGGTATCTATGAGAAATCCTCTTGACATTTAATAGGTTATATTGTCCGCGTTGCGCCGAACGAGGTGAGTATTCATAAGCCCAGCAGTCTACACTTCCCTCTCTGGGTTATAGGGCTCAAACAGGTTACTTACCTCTCACAGCTCCATTTTGGAAGCCCAGGCGCGTTCCACGATATCTATCATAGCAGCAAAAGGTGGGACAAGGACACGGGTCTTTATCGAACCCCCGGAGTCTCATCTGGGTCATTCACGTTCTTGAAATATGCTCAGGCAAAAGAACGACGGGAGGTGATTCTTCCCATTTTCTCCAAGAAAGCCATAAATAGTCTTGAGCATCTCGTCTGGCGAAACGTGAGTATTGCTTTGCTTCTGTTCACTGGCAACCTACCTTTTATCCATTGCTAATTCACGGTTTCTAAATAGGCAAATCGTCTTGCATCTTCTATCGCCCAGACAAATGCCACAAAAAGATCTATCGACCTACTCTACGCATTCCGTTCCTATACTCTCGACACTATAATGTGCTTCACATTCGGCAACTGCGTAAACGCCCTGGATGCGCCGGCATTCAGCGACCCTCTCATTCTAGCCATGGACGCCAGCCTTCGTATGCTGCCTCTCATGAAGAACTTCCCTATGATACGAGACCTCATATTCACCGTTCCACCGGCCCTAGTCATGCGCCTTATCCCAAACGCCCAGAAACTAGCTCCACGCCTATACCAGGTCCGGGATCTCGTCCAACAACAGCTTCAAATCGTCCTAAACTGCCCTTCGAAGCTAGATACCGTGCCACACCAGACCCTCTTTCACCGAATGCTCGACCCAGAATCATACCGGAGCAAGGAAGTCCTGAATCTAGCAGAACTACATGACGAAGGCTTCACACTCATCTTCGCGGGCGCCAACACAGTAGCCGACACGCTGCTCATGGGCCACTGGCATGCAATGCAAAACCAGACTTTGCTAACACAGCTGAGAAATGAGATTTTGACTGTCTGGCCCGACATCGACAAACAGCCATCCTTGACAGATCTCGAGACCTTACCACTCCTCACGGCAACTATCAAAGAATCTCTGCGCTTTATTCCATCTGGCGTATCGCTAACGCGTGTCGTACCACCAGGCGGCGCTGTGATAGCAGGGCAACAGATCCCCGGTGGGACGGTGGTGGGGATGGCTATCTTACATGTGCATCAGAGCGCGGAAGTATGGGGTACGGATGCGCTTATGTTCCGACCGGAACGGTGGCTGGAGAGTTCAGATCAGGCAAGTGCCCGGAATGGGAAGAGTGAATTGGATCACTGGCTCGTTGCTTTCAGTCGGGGGCCGCGTATGTGTTTCGGTATGAACTTGGCTTGGGCGGAGATGTACATCGCTTTCGCGACTATGGTTCGGAACTTTGACATGACTATTGACGGCACAACGGCCGAGGATATGCAATGGCGAGAGTGCATTGCAGCTTACTATCCTAATAGGCATTTGCATGCGTGGTGTCGGCCGGCTGGGCCCGGGAAGGTGAAGTAAAGAGTTGGTGCTTATATAGCTTTGAGTTTATGAGCAAATACAAACTTTCTCACACGAGCAAAGTTTCTATCCTCTAATATCTAGCCTTATGTTAGGAACAAAATTGTAAGACCCCGGTCGAAAGAAAATAATGGGCTCGTATTTTGAATACGCCTGCGGGTTTTTACTACCACAAGTCACTATCATAAACATAGCAGACAACTAGCGAATTTCTTTCTCATAACCAGGTTTCGCCATACTTGATAGTTCTATATGTCTAGGAAAGAAACGAAACAGGGCTTTGAGAGCCAATATATTCTAGAATATCAGATCCCTAATAAATGCCCTAGTCTTTCCCCTATTTGCAACAAATTCCTTTTTTATAGTTTGCAAGCTAGAACGGAGTTACTAAGGTCAAGGTGAGACTCACTCATCAAAGTCGGCCGCTATACTTGGCCGCTCCTCCGATGCTTAATAGTTCTGACCAGTTTCGGGGGGAAAGAGAAAAAGGAACATTATAAAGTCCGATGTGCTGATTTGCGATGTTTTGCACTCTTAGTATCACGGAGTAGTACTCGAGTTTAGGTAGGCTTATATATTCAAAATTTCCACCAATGACTTTGATAAGCTAGGACTTGAGTGTTATGCCCACTATCGTCATAGAATTCCACCATCGTCGTGTCGACCACAAAGTCTGCACGTGAAATAGGAAAGTAATAAGAGAAGCAGGAAGGTCTCATATGCTACCTAATATAACCAACCCATGGCAACAAAGAGCGGACCGACAAGCATTGCTTCAGTGTAACCATACATTTATTAATCGTACTCTAAACGAAAAAAAGCCAAATATGTCCCTGAGAGCCCAGAGTCAATTGTTTAGACCGTAACCCTATTAGCCTTCAAATACTCATAATCCGGCATAGAATCTCGCGTGGCCTTCTCAAGCAACTCAGCAATCTCATCCCCAAACTCGACACGCCACTTAGCAACTTCCTCATCAATATCAACTGACACTGGAGCCTTGTCCTTAACAACACCAGTCGACTCCTGCAAAGTCGACAACATGATAGAAACGGTATTCTTACGAAACGCTAGCTCCCCAGGCTCACCAACGTTTGTACTTTCAGTCGTCTCGGATTTTTTCGCAGAGCCAGTCCACTCAAACTGCATGGACGCAGTGTCCAGACCAACCTTCTCACAGAACCTAATCACAGCACCGCGGTTATGAATCACGTCATTGGCATCAATGACCAAAGGCGCGACAGACTCATCGGGCTGCTCGAGACACCAATCGAATAACTTCCGCGTCCATTCCATGCTCATATTCTTGACCGACACACCCTTAACGTCGTCGTCTTCAATGACACCGGCTTTAGACATCTTCTGCATAGCACGGTACATAGATGGCCAAGCTAGTGCCGGGTGACGGATGATGAAGGCCAGCTGCCAGGTGCGCAGGTACTCGTCCGGCATGACAGTTTTGTTATTGGCAGAGAATGTCTGCGAGGGCCCGTAGCGTTCTGGCGTGGATACATTGAACTCTTTCGCGTTCTCTTGCTCTTCGGCGCTGTTTATGTTTCCCGTGAAGAAGCGAGGGTTGAGGAACCAGAAGGCGTGTTCTTTGGCAAACATTATCTTGTTGTCAGCACGCGCTCGGCTGGAGTAGTCTTCTAGCTCGTTGAAGCACCGTTGGATGGCGGCTTTGGTCTCGCTCTTCTCATCTACTGTCCATTGTTCTAGCGGCTTGCCGATGCGACCATTCTCGCTGGCTGTCATGAATGCATCGTAGAAGAAGTAGCCTCCCTTCGGGTTGGTGAGGACATTCGGTTGTTTGGGGATGTTGAGGATCTTCAGGAGAAGATTCGAGGCGGTGCGAGGCACACTGACGATAAGGACTCGGTGTGGTTGATCATTGTTCTCAGGGGTATTGGTAGTAACAGCCATGGTGGATGGCTTTTTGATGTATAGGATATGGTGGCTGAATGATAATTAAGCTTAACTTGCCGCGAGGCAATGAGCGTGAGAAGAGATGGCTACATTCTGGAGTCGGATGGTGTCATCTCACTTAAATAGATTCGACTCACCCTGACCAAGCGCAAGATCGGCGCTTTTCTTGACCAAATTTCCCCTGGCCCCTCTTTATGCATGCAAGTGGGCCGAATTCTGACCTCTATGTGGTATTCGAAGTCCGACGCGGCGGGGGTTGAGCAGATAGTATTTCCTAAGGGAGTCGGACTCGGTATCAACCGCTCCGATCGGTGTTTGTCGCTGTTGATAAACGCCGAGAGAGGGTCGACGATGAGGTCCTTGATTGGACTGCAGAAGTGATCGGCAATTTACATCTTGAAGAAACAGCAATGGTACGAGGTATGTCTCAGACCTCGGCCTTCCTATCGGAGGATATGATCAGTCGCGTCGGATGATACGGTCCGTGGTCACTGATCGACATGGTTTTACCTTGAGTTATACACTTACGTTATGCATTCATCTGTCAAACATCTGTACGTCGTGAATACAGGCAGTGGCAGTGTAGAGTGGAGCAGCAAGATTTGAAAAATTGAGGATATTTTTGATTCTTAAGGCTGGTCTGGAGCCTCGAAGGCCTAGTCAGAGACAAACACAGCTAGATATCGAGTTCGAAGTACAACATATGAACCGCTAAAGGTCCGGTGTCTATGACTTGACAAGGTTATCTTGTAGATATACTAAGCCAATACACTAAAGCATACGTTTCCGCAAGATATATCAAGTCAAACCCGGCTCTTACTAAACGTACTTTCACCGAGGAAAGTCGGAATCACCGCTCTCACTCTCCGCCTTAACCAGACTCTGCTCCCTCGTGAGTGTCGGGTTGCGAATAACTAAGGCGAAGGCAATCAAAGGGACTGTTAAGCAGATACCCGTAATACATAGCAGACGCTGTGTTTTCTGGTAGGCGAGAATGACGTTGTCTCGGTTGGGAGTACCCACGGGATTGACCGCCGCAAATGCAAGAGGCTGGGCGTAGACATACGCAGCGAGTGTTTCGTTGCCGAGTCTATGATTCAGTTCAGAAGGCAAGACTTGGTTCCAGATCGCACCGGAGACAGTATTTCCAAGTGCGCTGCCGATGTTGTAAGCGGCGAGGTAGATACCAGTTATCACGGCAAGATCTATGGGATTGTTAGCCCTAGAGTCTTTTTTTTTTTGGTAGAACAAAGCCCGTTGGCGAGTACTAACGTTCGTGCTTAGACGCAACCTGAATGCTGGCTTGAGCTGGGTAAGGGAACATTCCACCAGCTAGAAATTTTCGTTAGATATATTCAAGCAACGCTGGAATCTAGGTGATAACTCACCAATACCCAGCAGAACTTGCGCACCAATGACGCCTGAATGACTGGAGTGCGCAACACCACCTCGGAAATAGATGAGGATTCCGAATGCAACCATGAAGAGGAGGGTTCCGGCCACGATGAAGGGCTTCAATTGGCGAACTTTCATAACAATGAGGCCGAGAATAACGCCAGTAATAACAGAAACAAAACTGTAAAGAGATGTGATCCGAGTCGCACTGAGAATTGATTCGTCGAAGCTCACGTAGAGAACTGTGTACAGGAAATCTCCTTGCAGGTACCACGCTACACAAATGTTAAATCTCGACCATGGATGGATGGTATCCTGAAGGACGTACCAGTGTTGAGCATAATGGGGATTCCAAGGGCGCCCCAGACAGCACGGTCTTTGAGAAGCTAGAGTCGAATTAAATCGGTAAGAATCCTAAATGGCTTCAATCATTTGACTTACCTTGAATGGCAGCATCGGGTATTGGCAGGTTCTCTCCCAGAAAATCCAGACCGGGATCAGCAAAAAGCCTATGATAAGTGGCGCAATTACCTTCGCTGTCTTCCACTGTGCACTTACGCCTCCAGCGAGGGTGAATGGAACAAGAATACATGCCAGCATGGCAATCAACAGAATGTTTCCGACGATGTCCAGATGCCAGAACAGTTCTACAGCCAGTTTCTTTTTTCCTAGCAGCTGGAGAGAGCTCTTGTAAGATTCAAGTGCCCCAGTCTTCTTCGCGCGTCGGTTGACGATAAAAAGGACTGCAATAAGAGGGAGAGCACATGCGGGATAGATTATAGCAAACATGCCGATGCCCCATCGCCATGTGGTGATCTTGAGAACGGCATCTGTCAAGTTGCCGCTGATCCAGGTATTGATCTAAAGGAGATTCAGTAAATTAATCAGTTAGCGTGTAGGATTACGTATCGTACGCACAATAAACGGCAAGGCCGGGATGTAGGAGAAAAGAAGACGAGATCGGCTGGAAGTCACATCGGCGATTAGAACTTCGACTAGAAGCATAATACTGGTGTATCCAATCTAGACAATATTAGACACGGGCCAAGATTTCATGAGCGTATATCTCACCTGGTAGATAACAGCCCCCGCAGCGAAAGCCTCCAAAGTCGTTGCGCATGCCTCCACTATAGTACCCACGGTATAGAAGACGATCGAAAGAAGGATAAGTTCCACTCTGCCGAATACATCTGCAACCTTTGCCGCAGTGGGCTGTAAAAGAATAGTCAGCTGCTGTGATGAATTGTTGGTCTCTGGATATCCGTACCTGTGCAGCAGCAGCGATGACGGCTCGGAGAACATTGATGGTCGCAAGAAGACTGTGTTCGCCGTAACTCTGAGTAGCATAGGGCTGTTCAAGACATGAGGTGTTAGTATACTCCATTCTCGTCGATATATCTTGACGTCAGAACTGCGAGATACGTACCTGGTACGTGTAACGAACAGTTCCATCCAAGCCATACACATAAGCGATCAAGAAAATAGCAATAAAGAGGAAGATCCGATCCCAAAATCGGAAGTGTGATGTAATGATTTCGATACGACGAACACCCGGACTGCCTTTGCCTAGCAGGCTGACAGGCTCACCAAGCGGGATGGCTTGGTTGCGGGGCTCCTTCGAGTCCTCACTGACGCGGTGGTCAACGTTGGTCTCATTAACGAGGGACATAATAATCGTGCAGAATCAGGTCTCACTCGGATTACCTATGTAGAGAGGAAGAACATAGGGGAAAGACCAGAAAAATGAAAATATGACTGCCAAGAAAAAAAGTCTAAGATAAAACTGCTTCCTCAATCTTATCTGATGGGCCTGTCACCTGTCTAGGTAGGTACCGAGGCGCGCTAGGAGCGTTTGCCTGGGAAAACGTCCACTCACGCAGCTTTCATGTGGCCCACCTCGTATAGAGCCATGGCTCAGGCTTGCTATTTGACACAGATTTCCCGCTTTGGGCTTGGCTAGTGGCAATTAGTATAAGTCTGTGGATATTGTATCGGATGACTTCCTATTCTAGCATAACAACCTCGGGTCTTAGGTGAACGTGAAGAGAAGATGTCATGAGTGGGCGACTAACTGTCTTGGTATACTGTTATAAGCCATCTATGTGAACTATGTCCTTGTTTTGCAAAGTGTATACATAACAAGAAGAAATAAAGTGAACCCTGTTGAACCCTGTCCAGGTGGAGCTGGCCCCGGATTAAATCCATTACGTAAGAATAATGCCCGCACCACATGGCTGGACGCGTCTTGGCGGCCGTGAAAGCCCACAACATATCAGCAGGCTCGCACGGACATGCAAATCTTTTCATCAAAATATTAACCATGTTATATAGCAGTCTGTACGGTTAAGGCAGGTAGAGAATGCTCGCCGTTTTGCCAATACTGTGTCCAGTCGCCCAAACTTGGCAGCACTTGTCAAAGGAGTGCGACATGCCGGTGATATGGGCTTTGCAGACTTTGCTGGCTACTCCGACTTTCTACGAAGCGCTCACCAAATTGAAAAACCTACAAACCCTGGCCATGAGAGATACTCTCCGCCCAACTAACGAGTACACGCCACAGGCGGCATTACTGGCAGTGCTTACCGAAATTTACTAGGAGGCCCAGGACTCACGGGTGAGCAATTGGTGTTTGGAAGATTTCATGATGGAGATGGATGATCAAGGTTACCCTCTTGGCGATGCGTTGGATCCGTTTGGCCTTGATTCCATCCTTGTGAAGTGGACTTTTCACTCCAAGGCTGGGCGCAAGAGCTGGCCGAGTCCACATATTTCAGCCGAGACTACCTCAAGGACTTGATTCCCGCACTGCGAACATGTAAGTTGCCCAATTTCGGGGCTTGTCGAAAATATCTATTCTTACATAGGACCGGTCATATTGGAACTGATTCTCCTGACCTATCACTCTTCTATCGATTTTAATAAGGAAATCTTCACACTGCCACATTTGCAAAAACTCTGCATCACTGGCGCTAAATTTTGAAAATTTGGGTTGCAAGAAGCATCAATTGACAATCGTGCCGCAAGTCTAAAAGAGTTGCTGCTTCTCAACTGTTGTGTGTCCGCTGAAGATCTCACGCTCATCGTTCGATTTCCACGTGCCTTGGAACGGCTTACCATTAGAGTTCCTATGTCACTAAAATCTCAGTACGAGGAAGACAATTATGTATTCTTCTCTGGGAGATTGAGTTTCCAACATTCTGAATCCTTGGAGTACTTGGATTTAGACATTTATGGGGGCGCAGATCACGGCCTTGACCTCAACCCCTTTGATGTTCTCAAAGAAATCATAATCACCCCTCATTCAATACTTGGTGATCCCGATGAAAAAATGATCATGGCACGTAGTCTCCAGCGACTTACAATTCGATACGAGGAAGGGACTCGTCTACCACTGAATTCTATCCTCGAAGAGCTCGAGAAGAAGAACCTTCCCAATATGCGCTCTGTGATATGCCAGATACCCGACAATATCTGCGAAGGTACTACCAGCTCGGAGATATGCGTCGAGGCCGAGGCTTTCAAACCAAATTCCAAAGAGTTAGGGGTGGAGCTATCAACAGAACTCGTTCCATACCCTCTCACCATGCCGAAATACGATACCTGCCCGTGTGAAAACTTAACGTTCTTCCATCAATTCCCCTCCCATCCCCGTGTCAAATCTCGCCCACCAAACGAACATACTACCAATACAACCGATGCGGGTCACAGCAACCCTCATCCCGCTGGTGTGATTTCCTTCGATGACTATGACCCATATTATGATGACCCATACGAGGGTAACCATCCTTCCTTGTATGACATGAGCCCACCTACTCCTCCCCGAATGCCTACCTTTACGGATTACGATGACTATTGTGATTGGGCGTACGATTGTTGACTGGAGGAAATCTCCGTCTTCTCTTTCAGGGCGTGCCTTTTAACGGTACCTATTTGTTTGTTTGTTTGTTTGTTTGTTTGTTTGTTTATCCTATATTCTATCTTCGGTCTTTCTTCAATAACCTTCAACATATATTTGGCTACGCGCCGCCGTGCGGATTGATGCTAACGGCGTAGCGGCCTGAAGTATGTCTACGTCTGATTTCTAGGATATCCTTGATGGAGTCTTTGATATAACTGGAAGCCGTGTCTGTTCTAGAAAAGTACAAGATCCAGATATGTTGTAGAATTCAGGCTTACATGTGCGAGGATAAATATGAAGCGAAGTTGGACAATTGCAATAAAACTTGGCTGTAAGTATTGCCTGGAGATGAAAGCAATTAAACCTATATTTGAGGACATTATCACTATCAAAGTCGTGACCTGAATGAACCTTGTGAACCAATCGGCGAAGGCAAGCTATCCTGACTGAGACGATTCATCTCGGGATCATAAAGCGACTCTGCCTCAACAGTCGCCTTGATGCGCTTTCCAAAATACTCGATCTCTACTGTCTCACCTTCACCAACACCCCCAGGAAGCCAGGCGTAGGCAATCGGTTTGCGAATCGTGTATCCAAATGCAGCGGTGGTGACATATCCAGCCGCCTTTCCATTATAGAACACCGGCTCCTTGCCAAGGATCATCGACCGACCATCATCAACGGTCAAAGCCCGCAGTCGCCGCGAAGGTACTTGGTTGGAAAGGCGCTGAATAGCGGCTTTGCCGACGAAGTCATCTTTCTTATTTGCATCGACAGCAAATGAAACACCAGCCTCGAACGGATTGTGCTCTGTCGTCATATCCGCGCCGTAGGTCCGGTATCCCTTCTCGAGGCGCATTGAGTTGAACGCACTGCGACCTCCAGCAATGAGTCCGTGTAGCTTTCCAGCTTGCCAAATTGTGTCCCATAGGCGCTGGCCATACTCGGCGCTGGTTTGGATTTCCCAACCTAGTTCGCCGACATAGGACTTTCGGATCATTGTAACAGGGATACCCGCGAGAATTGTTTTCTTCAAAGTGAAGTAGGGAAGTCCCTTGTTGGAAACGTCGACCGTGCTGATTCCAGCGATAACATCCCGGGATCGAGGACCCCACAGTCCGATGCAGCATGTGCTGCCTGTGATATCGCGGACCTGGGTCCATTTCCCGGGGGCACCTTGTTCCTGGACTCGAGCTTCTCTGGTAAGATACGCCAGATCTGTTGCAGTGTTCGCTCCAATTTGGAACACATCGTCGTCAAGTCGGAGTACAAAAATGTCACCCCGAATGCCACCGTGATCATTCAGGAGGAGCGTATAAGTAACGGTTCCTATCTTGGTGGTCATGTCACTCGTAGTGAGGCGCTGAAGCAGACCGATTGCTCCGGGACCGCGCACCTCGAACCGATGGAAAGCAGTCATATCAAACATAGCAACAGCATTCCGCGTCTTCCACGCTTCAGCGGCAGAGATCGGCGAATGGAACTGCGCCGACCAGGCATCTCGTTCGACAGGTTGCCATGATGGCGGGAGAGATTTGACAAGATCTTTGTTTGCCTCATACCACCACGGCCGCTCCCAGCCTCCAACCTCGAGGAAGAAAGCCCCCAGCTCCAGCTGGCGAGGATAGAATGGACTCACACGCAAATTGCGGGGCGACGTACGCGGCTGAAGTGGGTGGACGATGTCATATATTTCAACGAAGTTCTGCTGCGCGGTCTCGCTCACGTAGTCTCGATTGAGTTGGATTTCTTCGAAGCGGGATAGCTCACATTCAGACACGTCGATATCCGATCGGCCGGTTGTAAGTATTTGGGCTAGAGCTCGGGCGACGCCTGCTGAGTGTGTAACCCATACGGCCTCGGCGACGTAGAAGCCGTCGAGGTGGGATGGTTGGCCGAGGATTGGGCCACCGTCGGGTGTGAAGGAAAATATGCCATTGAAACCATCTGCGATCTCTGTGTCCCTTAGAGCGGGGAGAAGCTCTTGGGAATCTTTCCAAGCCGGGTCGAAATCTTCGGTTGTGAAATCAAGGCGGGAAGGCATGTTTTGTTCGTCAACATCTTTCGGAGTAAGGCCCAATGATGACGCAACGACGGGCATTGGACGGTGTGCGTAGGATCCAATGCCGTACTGCCCGCCGTGTTCACGGTAGTAAAGACGCTTGTCCTGGTGCCGGAGGATTGGTAGTGCGGCATTCATTCCATTGGGCAAGCTGTTAACATCTCGTCCTTCGAGAGCAGGTACTGCCGTAGTCTTTGCATACTGGTGCCCCAGCGGGAGCAAAGGAATTTCCACACCGACCATGGCTCCCAATTCAACACCCCAGAACCCAGCGCAAGAAACAACAATGTCTGCGGGGATAGTGCCCTTTGGAGTAGTGACTCCGGTGACACGTCGACCGTCCCTCTCAATCCCCGTCACGGGGGTATGGCCCAGATAACGAACACCGGCCTTGCTCGTCCGTTCAATCAGCAGTTGCGTTGCTCGGGCTGCTAGTGCGAGACCATCGGTCGGGACGTGCAGACCGCCCAACACCATATCGGTATTCAGATGAGGATACATCTTGAAGCACTCCTCGGCGCTCAGTAGCCGCGCCCCGATTCCCCATGATGAGGCATATCCATGTTTCCGCTTCAGCTCCTCCAGTCGTGCGGGAGTTGTTGCTATTTCGAGACTGCCGACCTGATTGAAGCATTTGTGTCCATCCTTCTCTATTGAAAGAAGCTTCTCGGCTGTGTATCGTGCGAAGTATGTCATTGTCTTGGAGGGGCTTGTCTGGAATACGAGTCCGGGGGCGTGTGAGGTCGATCCGCCCGGCATATGCAACGGGCCCTGCTCGACAACAGTAATATCCTTCCATCCTCGAGAGACCAACTCGTCGGCGAGGTTGGTACCCACGATGCCCGCTCCAATGATGACGACACGTTGTGAAAGGGACATTGTTATGTGATATATGATAGTTAGGTGTTACACGCATTAGAAAGCGGCAGGCACCGCTTCTATTTGTATATTCATATACTTGATAGGTTGTACAATATGTGAAATTCTGGTACGTATCTCCCCGCACCGTGTATCGGTGTGTGATAAGTATATAGTGTGTCTTGAAGCTGACGATAAAGATATTACACCCCGCACGGGTTCCGGCGATGTAAAGCCGAGAATTGTAGTAAAGAATACCGATGCCATTTTCGGAGCAATCGGAATGGAGGGGTATATCGTTGGATGCCCCACGTTCCTATAGATAATGAAGCTTGTCAAGTCAATCAGAACCGGCCAACCAGCTTTATGTGGAGCATTTGCGTTGACAATGGATAACATTTCCTTTTCGGGTCAAGGGTCTCAATCTTAGGCTATTTTAGGATGAAGGGAGCGTCATAATTTCCGCATTGAAGTTAGAATTATTGGTTTGCAATCAAAGCCGCATCAAATTACAGCAAGTCAAGTCTACATGTTGGACGGTTTATGGCCGAAAGTCGCGTTCTGAAGGCCACGAAAGCAGTGTATCGATCCGGGTCATACTTTGAAGAAAGCAGGAGTGTGCCAAACATATTGTAGGGCTTTGAACTATATATATTGAGTTAATACTAATAGATAGCTAGTTGAATCTAATCACTAGCTATCCAGTTATTTTACAGGAGATCCGTAGGAAATAGCAAGACTCAGTCTATTTGAGATACACTTACTGCTTGTCTACGTAGAACGGCGAACTCTGTGCACGCATACACGCACTTAACTTGTGCCTAGAAGACGCTGTAAACGAGTTCCTATAAGCACGATAACTTCATGGACAGTGCTGAAAGAGGCGATCATATACCCTCACTATCAAGCTTTTCCGTTGTAGTCGATTGCGAAAATAACCATTCTAGTTAGTTTACAAACACAGACCCACAGTCTCGATTGACCATAGCGTATGGTAAAAGTTCTTGATTGCCCTAGCAATCTCCGGAGATTCAGTTAAAACGTCAAACTTGTGGTCTACAACTAGTATTTAAGCAACGGTATCCGAGCTTTAAACGGATCTAAATGTTTAGATTCGAGCTAGCTACTTATAGTAAGATAATAGGTGATCGTGCAATAAATCGTTGGTAATGAAGCATTGTCATTGGCAGAACATTCCAACATCATAGACGAAAATGATGCAATCGCCATTCTATGGCCTCTGATTGGCCAATTGAGAATGGATGCAGGTGCGTTCAATGGAGGCGTGGAGTATACAAATCGGTTGCTTATAGTTCTGGATGTGACATGTATCGCCAACATCTCTGTCTATGAACTTTTATGATACTTAATGATGTCCTAAAGAACATGCTAACCCCCAAACTATGCGGGGCTGATGTTCGATGTTCGGCGGGAGCCGATCCGTGGGGGAACCCAACAAGAAACAATCCATCTGAGACCTTCACCCTTTCTCAAGAGAAACACCTCAGCTGGAGGACAGCAATGCTATCATCTGCATTCTTCGCCCATTTCTCATCATGACCGAGCCTGGCCAAACTCCTATTCCCGAGGAGCCACCTAACGCAATCCTGACCGACTCCCACCCGACTCCCGCTCGCGACGCCCGCGATGACAACCTGGAAGCATTAGAGCTCCATGAGATCCAAACGCGAGAAGACAATGAGCTAGACTACTCAACCCCATCAGGTTCATCTGGCGACGAGAACCACGTGCCCACACATCGAACTACGTCTCAACGGGATTCCCGGCGGAGACGCGAAGCCCGCAAGGGCCTTTGGAGCCAGATCTGTCGATTCTGGACTCGAAATGTTAGTATAACTGTGCCGCAGAAGAGCAATCGAGATCACTTTGGTATGTTGTACTTTGGACACGCTGTTGGCACTCTAGTTGACATGTTCAAAGCCCTGGAAAGGACGTTCCTTGCGTACATCCGCACGTCCATGGTTATCGCTATGCAAGGGGTGCTTGTTGCTCAACTTTTCCGTCTACAACGGCCGTTGGAAACGGTCCATCGCCTGTCATTCTACCATGTCGGTATCCCGCTTGCGGTTGCCTGTCATGCCGTGGCTGTTATCGTCGCCTTGATAGGTTCATTCCGATTCTGGAGACAACAAAATGCTATTGCTCGTGGCAAAGTTTATGCTGGGGGGTGGGAATTAAATTCAGTGGGGATTTTACTATTCCTTGTAAGTCATCACTAGGACGATGCTCGGCCTCTGAATTCTAACCAACTCTACAGGTCATTGTGGCGACTTTGGTACTTACCGTGATTATCTTGATTGAAACCAACTTGAGCCCCAGTGTTCTTTCTAATCGAATATCATGGCCTTGATGTCCATTGAAATGGTGAAGGAAAATTTTACCCAAGATGAGCACATTAATGAGCATACATAATACATAATGAATAATTCATACTTGTGATATTATTCTATGATCCGCATGTTTTTCAAATCCATTGCCGTTCAAAGCTGTCTCGCTTTGTCGCAGATTGCATTCATTTCTACCTTCGAGCGTTCTGTTCAATGAGATCCTCAATGGGAACAAGCGTTCTCTAGGAAAGTTGCGTGAACCTTACCTACTTGTTGGGGACGCCTCCCAAACAGCCACCTAGCCTGCGTCTTCTGGTGGCATTCCCTCCCGAGCATGAATATTTGCGCCGTGTTGGCATCCCCAGGCAGCACTACCCTGTCACCCATTGGGCAAGGGCAAGAAGAAGCGTATGGGTGGGTATCTTTTATACATAATCAACATTCCATATCCCCGAGTATGGTGACGTTTAAACTGCCTACGGCCCTACTTAGGGCATATATTACGCTCCAACCCCCCGAATCAACCTCAATTACTTCGACACCCAGTAGCTGGCACATTACCTTCAACATAATCACACCCATTGGCTGTGTTTTCATGCTTCTTGATCCTGCTATGAGTAACACCAATGGCACTGCCAGATCCCAAAGTCCTGCTGCAGGTGAAACCAAGCGAAGCAACCATGCAATGTAAGAAAAGGATAACAATTAGCATGCCGGTGGTTTTCCGCCTCTGTCAGGTGGAGAGAATGTTACGCTTTTTCTTCATGATCATCGAAAGGAAAATGAGAAAGAACCGCAGTCTTCTCCATATCCGTGCTTGAATATTCCATCAAACCATCCTTGATGCTCTGGATGACAGCTCTACTCCGTTCAAGTTCATCCTCATCTGAAACCCAGCCAAGGGCATCTGTCCCGATTAGATCCCTCATCTCGCCCAATTCCCGTAGTTTCTCCTGTTCTTGGCGATAATCCGCCGAACATTTCTGTATCTCTTCCTCAGAAAAGTGAATTGGACACTCAGCAGATCTTGTCTGTGCTCCTCCATCTAGCGACATAGGCCAATTCTTGAGGACCTGTAGCATAACATACTTTAATGAGGTAGAGTCTCCCTCCCACGGAGCCTGTGCATGATGAAAAAGCTTCGCTCGAAGCATATAATTTTCGGTTCTGATGGCGTCAAAATGATCCGGTAGGGATTTCATGGTCAATGCAGTATAATAGAAATGGACGATCCGTCTCCGCATCGTCTCTTGAACAGTTTCCTGTTCTTTATCGCTGAGTTGATCAAAATTTGCCGGCAGCTTGACCTCTGGCTTAGACAATGTCTCGGATAATGGATCGCCCCAGTTTTGAAAATGTTCGGGGATTCCAGCGCATAAACAGAGGGGTAGAATTACTGCATGTTGCCAGTCAATGACCCCTACCATATCATTAGACATATTCACCAAGATATTATTAGGTGAAAAGTCCGGATGGCGAAGAGTCGGGCGAGACATACGGCCTGATAGGACGTCGAGGTAGGGCGCTAACTTCAAATAATTGGCAAGGAGATATTGGTATAGAATAGGCGAGAGGCTTTGGAACTGGTATATTTCTCGTAGATATCTTTCGACGTGTAGGCGTGGTTTACCAAATCTTTTATAGAATTCTATCTCGCGCTTTGCGGGTGCTTCGAAGTATGCGGAAAAGGTAGTCCCTGGCTCAAAGTCAATATTACTAAAGAAATAGGAACTCCTAGATAGAGACTTACATGGGCCACGGTCAACCTCTAGAGAGGCCCGTTCTTGATACCACCATTCATGCTGTACAGTTGGTCCAACGACAATATCGTCTGAGATTGGGATAAAGTGTTGTGAGCTGTCGAGATCACGGCGGTAATAAAGACTTCCGCTTGCTGGGAAGTGGATACTCATAAACCGTCTCTCCATATTAACAATCTGTCTCATTATTTTGACCCGAGTTTTGGTATCCATAGAGAACCACTGGTCACTTAAGGGGATTCCTTCAAGCCTTTCAAGTAGAATATATTCAGTTCTAACGGGATTTGTCTGATCTGGAGAATACGCAAGGACTTTAGGGGCTGGGACCCCATGAGCACGTAGATGTGTGAGTGTGGCAGCTTCGCTAGCCACCACATAATGTTTCGGAATAGTAGTCTTGTATGGCAACCTTGCAAGAACTGCATATCCATCATTGAAGGTGAGTTGCAAGACGCGGTTGAAGCCCCCCTCGGCGAGTTTTGTGATCGAGGCTACGCCATCGAGGCGTCGACCAACAGAATGGCAGGCTGCCCTTACAAGGGCATCCACGTCAAATTGAATACAGCGTTCAGCGCGGCGGAGCTTTTCATTAAATCTAGTTTAACGGAGCAAGTTAGTTTATCGCAATTGACGCGTTCAGCAACCGTCACGACTCACAAAAAGCGCCCAGAAGTGTACTCGAACAGATCAGAATTACTACTCATAGAGGACATTCTTCTGGGTAATGACTTCGGGTATCGACCCCAAAACCTCGAGAAGCGTCGCATTTTCAAGGAGAGGGCCAGGGTACGCACCCAGCTACATTTCCAAGCTTAACTTTAAGTTACCCGTGGACCCGCCAACATGGGTATTACTCAGCACTAACGCCTCAGGTGCCCACCGATAGACCCTTGTTTCCAAGGGGTCAAGTGCTGAATCAGCATATGGCCGGCCTCTGTATGTTGTGTAACGTGCCAGGTCTAAAAGAGAACAGTGCATTCAATTCAAAATAACTAAGATGGAGAGAAATAAGAAGCAAGTTGGAAAGTGGGCAGCAGCCAGTTAATATAGCTGACCACTTCCAAGCGTTGCAAACCTCGAACATCTCGTTCAGCTATGTAACAAACAATCTATCTGGTAAACAATGCAAACAGTAGGCGAGCAAGCAAACATGAAGCATATGATAGCGATCCATGTGGATTGTGACATGTTGTAGTTAATTATTTTGCGATGAGGAATCTAGCTAGAAGGGCCACGCTCAAGAATAAACATTGTAAAGCCCTATGGATTAAGAAACACTTTTGGTCTTTTCTAATGAAGATACAAAATACACCGATATTTTCTAATGAAGATACAAAATACACCGATATCCTTTCAAATGGTCAGCGATTAGAACTCTATGGTACAATATGAGGACTCTCATATGATACTCGGGCCACATTGGGCTAAGTATTCTAAGAAGTTGGTAACCAACTATCTGACGCAGAAAGGTAGGTCAGGTCATCAGATTTAGCACGAGGGATATGGTATGGACATCAATCGCACCACCATTGCACTACCTGACTGATTGCAGTGGCCCGTATAATAGACCAAAAGAAGACGTTCAGACCAATCATCACTGTAGCAGGGGTTCTTGCAGTTGAATGGGGCTGGGCAAGGCTAAGCTCCGGAAAATGCCTTTTATCTTCTATTCTCTGTTCATTCAATGAAAAGCAATATACTGTCTTCGAAAAACATATGAGAGTCCTAGATTCATCAAACTAAATGGATACAAGACCCAGAAGGTTTCAGGCGACGATAGCCTTCCTTCTCATCTCTTCTCCTCTCCTCCTCCCTCTTCTCTTTGCTGTGTTATCAAATGACCATTTTCCTTGACGACTAGGACTGCCTTGTCACAGTGAGAATGGAACTTACAAAGCTTTGTAAATGTAGGAATAGCTAACTGCCCATAAGCCATGCGAAGAGGCCAGATGATATTTATAGGGATTATGACAGGACGGCATAAGTTACATATCGATGTAGACGAACGAAGTAACTGGGACCTGCTTTGCATCATACACATGGTCAGTTTATTATGAGTTGAGTTTTCTACCACCGAAATTGTATGCTCGTCACTACAAAGTACACACGTACTGCATATATTTTTATGAAGAAAGATTATTTGGCCGAAGATGCATCGGAACAAACCTTCCCGAGCTCTATCGAACTATGTTGTATAATAATAATCGGCCAAGCCACCGAACAAAATTTGACGTCGGCGCTCGGTTCCCGTTCGAAACCGTTTCAAATAGAAACGCCCCATAAGGTCCTGTAAGGCGAGACGATCATTCACCCAGCCCCATTTCGAATTCCGACCTTTCCGACGCAGTGAACATCGACGATTCTTGCCACTTCGGGCATTAGACCAGGACATTTGTAGGCAGCAAAGGCATCCTTCCTATACGATGTCGGATCGGCGAGCCGTGCCGTCACATAGCACCGTGAAATACTACAAGATTTGTACATTGTACGTTGTCCCTACATTGTAAGCTCAGCTGTCTACCGGAAGCCCTCGGTCCGCAAGCGGAGCTAACTGGACCCCGCGGCATTCGAAGCGGAGACTCATGCCGGGCATGGGAGTGTGGAACAGGTTATCGTCAAAACGGGCTGATACCGCAATAACCCAATACGAAGTACGGAGTACGGAGGAGAAGAAAGCCACAACGCTCAGGGGCTGGATGTTGCTCGGATTGGCAGTTGATAGCAAAAGGTACGTTGAATGAGGGAGGTGGGGACTCCTTATGGACACTTGTCAGATGCTCTCGCAGACAAGGCGGTCCGAGATACCTAAAAAGGACTACTGGTCATGTCGATGTATTCCAATACTCGCTTATTTAGTTTCTTGGCGCGCATTGGGCCGCTCGGATTTCCCCAAATGCGTTGCTTCACGAGGGTGGGCTTCTTGGCAAGTGGCGATCCAGCCTTATTTTTTGGATGTGGATGTCTTGGCTCTTTCAGGGGAAAGATAACGGGTCATTTTTGGACTCGTTTTTGGTAATACCATATTTGAATTGATGGCTGTTTTAGTAGGACCTCGGAAGTCAAGAGTTGTCACGCCTCCTTTTTCCCTTCTGGGGTTAATTTTCAAAGCGAGTCATGGGACTTGAGTTCATCTGGGGTATTTGGCCATAGCCGCTTGGGCAGGCTGCATCACTTACGTGTCTAGCAAGTTGGGTTTCATTATCATTGGTTTTATACAAGTCATTCGGGTATTGATTTTATGTTCATATGTACATCCGAAATTATCCACAGTCACTGATAGTTCTCGGCTTCGTTGTCTCCATTTCATAGAGAACAGAAGCCAGAGAGAGAAAAATGAAACACCAAGAATGATCTGAGCAAATATGATAAAAGTATGCTGAAAGGAAAGAATCAAAATGTGAATCATAGAAAAGAAAATGCAAGATATGAGAAATAAAACAGAGTGTCATATAGACACTTGACAGAAAGCGAAGACCGCCAGGGCATTGCTTCTTAAGAAATCATTCCAACGTCTTTACCAAAACGCTCCAAAATTAAGCTGTCTGCATAGGAATGCTAGTCATGGGCAGCTGGGGCGGGGCCTGCTCACCCTCCTCGAACATCCACTTCTCCAATTTTTGCGCCATGCGTGCGCAGAAGGGGTCAACATATCCAGTCCACAAGGTGGCGCAGAAGTAGACCAGCACGATCCAAGCGGGGATACTGATGGCCACGACCCAAGGGGCGCGGATGGGGATCCAGTGCGGGTGGAGGGGTTCGCCGTCCTCGCCGTATATCGGGTTGCCCTTTTCGTCGACAATGTCACCGTCCCAGGGCTGGCCGGTAATGCCGTAAAGCATCCAGCAAAGAACAGTGCGCAAGAGAGTGCCGTGCACGAGGTAAACGGCGAAACTCTGCTTGCCGAGCCAGAGGAGGAGACGGCTGGAGAGGAATTCCTTGGTGGAGGGAGAGATGTAGATGGCGAAAATTATGAGGTCGACGCCCAAAGCGGAGTAGCGTCTGCCGACGTTGACCTCCGGAGGAAAGATATAGTGAGAGGCCCGTTCCATGTAGGCCGACCATGTAGCCCATTCTGGGTGTTCTCCGGGGTACGAGCACACGAAGAGACCGAGGCAGACCAAGAGGCCTGCTACGATCTTGCGACCCCAGCTGTGGCGTTCGACGAATTCTTTGAAACCGTTCTCATAAGAGAGATCGCTGAGGAACATGCCGTAAACTGCCTGCATTTGGAAGGTTTCTGTCTCTTGATTAGGACCAGGGGTGGGGATTTGGGTTTCGCGTAGAACTTACCGGTGTTCTTGGCTGCGTTCTGGTGGAAGTAGAGGTACATGCCTACGTAGATGGCCATGCGGAATCGGAACTTGCAGAACATTGTCGCGCAGATAAGGACGTAAACCAGCATAGATGCCTGGAGCAGCGGAAGTAAAGCCCACTGGTGGTCATCGTACGCCATATAGCCCGTGGTCCAAACTTCCAGGAAGGTCTTGAACAACCGCACAAACTCCTCCCAGAAAGTAGGCGCCAGATCGACGGCGGCGTAACGGCACCACCAACAGTCGGATCGATTAGCGGCGACGAAGGCGCCAAATTGTGCCATGACCCACGAGATGAGCAAGGCGATAGTAGCGGGGAAGATGAGGCGAGGTGGACGACGGAAGGCACTCTTGCCCACGGATGTGAAGGATCCAAGGATGTCGCCATTGCGAGACTGTTTGAGCGGCTTGAGGGCACAAACGTAGCCAGTCAGGAAGGCGAAGATTGTGACACCCAAACGGCCTTGCCAAGGAATACGCAAGACGGGCCACTGCAGAATTCGGGGAGGGGAGTCAACATCGTCGCGGGGGGCAAAGAGATCATAATCCCATCCGCGGGTCAGGTGAGTGAGGATAACTAGGAATGAAGCGATTCCTCGTAGGCCCTATCCACGATGTTAGTAACAAGCCTCATCCCTATAAGGCTGAGATAGATAACGCACATCAATCCACTTCACACTTTTCCGCGGATCACCTTTCACCGATGGATCTGCGGACTTCCAGGGAATGTTGTCCAATATGCGCGAGTATAGATGGGTGGGCTGAATATACTCCATGATGAGTGTTGTAAAGAGTGAATGAGAAACCAAACAAGTCCGACAGGAGACTCGGAGTGTCTAGTGGATTGGTTGAAATGGAAAGCCAAATGCAACCATCAACATCGAACGACAAAGCTCACAAAATGCCAAACAAAACAAACCAAAATGCTGAAGATTCAAAGGAGAGAGGAAGGGACAGAGATGAGGTTAGCTCAAGTTACTGAGAGAGCCTCCCCATAGATCAACGAGCGAGAAGTTTCGAAAATAAATAGGCCAAGACAGCAGAACGGGGTATATGTAAGAGAAAGCCGAATTCATCTTCCCTTTCCCACGAGTCGCGGATCTTGGCCAAGCGGAAAATGGGTACGAGGCGATCGAATGGGCGTGAACTGGAACTTGGGGGATTTACCTTGTTGTATGTAGGTATCGCCGTGGGGCCTCGGTAGTGGAGCCTTGAAATTACCAGTTCAATACCTGTGAAGATGGCGAAAATGACGAAGTGACGAAAGTGAAGTAAAGTATACGATGCCTAAATATAACTGGAGGGGTTGTGCCATGTTATGTTTGCAGTTATGTAAATGTCGATAAATGATACTACATCAGAAAAGAGCTGGATATACGTATATTGTATGTATCAATCTA